CTGCCTCTGTCTCTGTCTCTGTCTCTGCCCCCCCTGGGGGTGGGGGAGGGTTGTTGTTGTTGTCGTCCTTTCGCCCCGCGAGGCCCTGAGCGCGGCGGCTCCTCACCGGAAGCTGGAGCCCGGAGTCCGTCCACATCGCGGCTCCGGGGGGAAACACGGAGCGGCCCCGCCGCAGAAACGGTCCCCCCCCTGCAAACCCACTGTGTTCACCCTCGAGTTACAGTTTATTTTTTATTTCATCCCTTTAAAATATACTTACACATCCCCCTCCCCCACCCAATTACACACACACTCTGTATATCTATCCACTTGGTCAGTCAGTGCTCCTGGCAATTCGACTGCAGCAGGCATCACAGCCAAGCCTACCTTCAGCCCCACATCTGTCCTTGAGGCACTAGGTCCACCGTTTGGATGGAATGCCAATTCAAGTGCTCAACCCACGTACATTTTTTTTAAGAGAAAGATTAACCAGAATTGCTCTTACATACAACTGAATGTTTTGTTTTCCCCATCACCAAATCACCCATGGCCCAAGTGATTTTTAAAGGCTGTGAGAATTACCTGCCTCTTCATCATTTACCTACTGCCAAACTCCCGCTTTCTCCCCATACCCTTGCACAGGTAACATGCAAGAATGGAAACTGTGTCAATTTTGTGTTCTTCAATTGAAAGAAGGGCTTGCAACTTGATAAGGAACCTTTTTTGTAAGTCGCAGCAGAAGGTCCCAAAACAGTTTACAGCCAGTTACGTATTTTTTATTAAGGAAAGGGCAGTCATTGTTGTATTGGACACAGCAAGCTCCCATAGATAGACAGGAAAGTCTGATTTAGTTGCACCGTTTTAGGGATCAATGTTGGTTTGAACAACAGAAAAATCTCTCCTGCTGTTCTTTTAAATGGTGCCGTGGCATCTTGTACAATCACCTGAGAATGAAAAAAAACAGGCCACAAACACCTCACGAACAACTGTGACAGTGCAGCTTTCCCTCAGTACTGCACCAGAGGCCACTTAATTGTGGTTAAGCCCCAACTTTGACACAGAAACAGGAGCACTGTCACTGAGCCACAATGGGTTAACTGTTCTTTGGGAGTTGATCAATGTGTGGCTCAGGACACATCAACTTCTCACTCACTCACTCTTCAAGTACAGCATGGCAGCTCAGTGGTTAGCACTGCTGCCTTACAGTGCCAGGGACCTGGGTTTGATTCCACCCTCGGGCAACTGCCTGTGTGAAGGCTTGCACATTCTCCCTGTGTCTGTGTGGGTTTCCTCCCACAATCTGAAGATATGCAGGCTAGGTCGGTTAGCCATGGGAAATGCGGGGTTATAAGGTGGTTTGGGTGGGATATCCTTTGGAGGGGCAGTGTGAACTTGATGGACGGAATGGCCTGCTTCCAAATTGTAGGGTTTCTATGATTTCTATGAAGTATCATGCCCAAAGAGGGTATTGATAATCATGGACCTCCATCAGATTAGTCCACATTGCAGACTGATAATCACCCTGTGGCCATCACACTTCCATGGCCATCAATCCCTGAAGTGGGACCTGAACTCAGAGCTTTACCTGCTGTACTACAAAACCTCCTCCTCAGGATTCTAAAATTTTTAAAATAAATTAGCGTCAATGTTTGGGGAAGTGTTTGAAGTGAGATTTGTTCAAGGTGAAAGGGGCAGTGAAAGTCCACTCAAACAAAAAAGCCATATTATTTTGCGAGGTATTATCAAAGCAGATCAAACAGAAAATAAAACATGGTCAAATTGGAAAGATTATAATTTACAACGAAACAGCATTTATGATTTATTTTTATTCATTCACAGGATGTGAGCATCTCTGGTTCAGTATTTATTGCCCATCCCTAATTGCCCAGAGGGCAGTTAAAAGTCAACCACATTGCTGTGGGTCTGGAGTCACATGTAGGCCAGTCCAGGTAAGGACGGCAGTTTCCAATAGTGAACCAGATGGATTTTTCTGATGATCAGCGATGGATTCACGGTCGTCATTAGACATTTAATTCCAGGTTTTTATTGAATTCAAATTCCACCGTGTGCCTTGACAAATTTTGAACCCAGGCCCCCAGAACATTACCTGGGTCTCCAGATGAATGGTCTCACAATAAATACCACTGGGCCATTGCCTCCCCGAAACAAAAATGAGAAAAAGCAAGCAATCTTCTGGCACGGACTGTAAAGTAGGTGGAACTTTATATGTGAGTTTTAGGTTGTGTTGGGACTGTTGTGTTGTCTGAACAGGGGTGGCAGCACCATGGGGAGTGTGGCCGCTGCTGCAAGATATTTCAGGAAAATGAGAAACTTTGCAAGACCCTCCATTCGGCTTTTCCAGGGGACAGACACCACGGGAAACGTATCGTTTGTTTATACACCAGGCCGCTGTGCCAGTGAAAGAGCTCAATGTGATAAACTGACTGTCAGAACTCAGAAGGATGGGATCAGGTTGGTGGGGACATGGACTGACCCAGACACTACCCACTAGAAATTACACAGGTTCAGGGCACTGTTCTCCTTCAGATAAATTGGCAATAATAGCACCTTGACCTTGTACCGTACCTTTCGCAGAGCTGGGAGAGCAGTGGCCTAGTGGTATGATCGCTGGACTGTTAATCCAGAGACCCAGCTAATGCCCTGGGGACTCAGGTTCAAATCTCCGCCCATGGCAGATGGTGGAATAGTACAAAAAAAATCTGACCATGAGTTCATCGCTGCTGAACCCATCTGGCTCACTAATATCCTTCAGGGAAGGAAACTGTCATCCTGTGGCTCCTGGCACACCGTAATGTGGTTGACTCTTAACCACCCTCTGGGCAGTTAGGGATGGGCAATAACTGCTGGCCTCACCAGAAATGCCCCCATCCAGGGAATAACAAACACAGGGGGCCAATCCAGTTATGAAAGACTCGAGCAGTAGTTTGTGGGAGGTATTCGAATGCAAGGTCAAAGAGGCTGCTTTCCTAAATGGACAACAAAACAGAGATATTTAAGATTTGCAAACAGGAGTAGGCCGTTCAGCCCCTCGAGCCTGCTCCATTCAATAGGATCATGGCTGATCCAACGCTCCTCACATCCACTCTCCTGCATTTTCCCCATAAACTTTGACTCCCCGACTGGTCAAGAACTTATTCAGCCTTAAATATACACAAGGACTCCATCCTCACAGCTCTTGGTGGCAAGGAGTCCCAAAGACTCACAACCCTTTGAGAGAAGAAATTCCTCTTCATCTCAGTCTTAAATTGCCACCCTTTCATTCTGAGAGGATACTGTGTGAACCCAGACTCCCCCATGATGGAAAACATCCTCTAAGCATTTACCCTGTTGAGCCCCTGAAGAAACCTGTATGTTTCAATGAGGTGTCACCTTTCACCTCTCTAAATTCCAGTGAGTACAGGCCCAACCTACTGAACCTCACCTCATAAAGCAGTCGCTCCCTTCCTGGTATCAACCTGGCGAACCTTCTCTGGGCTGCCTCCATTGCCAGTGTGTCTCTAGAAAATAGTTTTGTCTCCTGTCTAGGTCCATCGTTCTGAATAACCCACATAAGAGGAATGCTCTGTCGCTGGCCATGTTGGAATCTCTGCGCAGAGACCTCCTCCACGAAGCAGAAAGCAATGACCTCCGCGTTATTGTGATTTCAGGTAATTCCAGCATGGGTTTTAACATTTAACAGACCTACTTAGATCATGTGGTAAAGTAAAACGTAGCTAGAGAAATGACACTGATGGCACAGTGGCTCAGTGGTTAGTACTGCTGCCTCACAGCGCCAGGGACCCGGGTTCAATTCCACCCTCGGGCGACTGTCTGTGTGGAGTTTGCACATTCTCCCCGTGTCTGTTTGGGTTTCCTCCGGGTGCTCCGGTTTCCTCCCACAGTCCAAAGATGTGCAGGCTAGGTGGATTGGCCATGCTAAATTGGTCATAGCATCCAGTAGACATGGATTATGCAGGGTAGCAGGGTAAATCTGGGTGAGGTGCTGTTTGGAGGGTTGGAATGGACTGAGTGGCCTGCTTGCACACAGTAGGGATACTATGAATGCTCCCTTTGTACCTTTAAAAAGTACTTGGATGAGCACTCGAAATGTCGTAACATTCAAGGCTGTGGGGCTAGTGTAGGTAGTGGTGGTATTTTTGGCAGTGCAGATTCTATGGGCCAAAGGCCTCTGTGATTCTATGATTCTACTGGCTTAGATGATCCCATGTAGAGCACTAATTGAGGCGTTATAAATCACTCTGGGAAATATAGTGGCAAATTAGTGAGTGCTCAATCCAGCTCCTGGTTTCTCTCTTCTGCGTTGATTCAGAGTTTGGGTAAGCTCAGGAGCAGGCTGTGGCCTGGAACTTGCAAAGGAGATAACTGTCAAAACTCACACAGGAAACCTGGGACAACCACCAGGGGGCGTATAGCATCGGCAAAACTGTATCCCAGGAAAGGGTTAGCTTCTCAGGAGAGAAGGAACGGGGAAAAAACATGCAGGGAACTGAGTTATGAGTAACGTACAATTTAGCAGCATAAGTAGGCCATTCAGACCTTTAATCCTACACTACTGCTCAATAAGACCGTGGCTGATCTGTTCCACATTCCCAACTATCCCCAATAACCCCCAATTCCTTTGCCTAACAAGAATGTCTTTAGAAAAACTGAAAGAACTGTGGATGCTGGAAATCAGAAATTGCTGGAGGAACTCAGCAGGTCTGGCAGCATCTGTGGAGAGAAAGCAGAGTTAACGTTTTGGATCCAGTGACCCTCAGAACCAATCTGAATCTGTCTACCTTGGCTTTAAAAATATTCAATTAACCCCATCCACTGCCTTCCAAGGCAGAAGGTTCTAACGTTGTACAACACTGAGAAAAAAGAGATATCTCTTCAGCTCTGACCTAAAAGGGTGATCCTAATTTTAAAGTAGCATCTCTTATTTTTGGTCTCCTTTCCACGAACACCGGTCAAGACCTTTCAGGATTCAAGTCACCTCCCACTTTCGTAAACTCACTGGAAACAAAAGCAGCCCTGTCTCTACTTGTCAGAAAACAATCCGCTCCTTCCAATAAGTTTCCTTTGACCAGGCTACAATTTATTTCCATCTTTCTTTACATAAAGAGACAAAAACCATGCACAGTTTGGAGAGGTGGCGTCACCAATGCCTTTGTATAACTGGTGCTGTCAGGTAACCGTACCTCAGGAGGGAGAGCTAGATGGAATGAGTATCCCTGTTACTGACCCCCTTTAGAGATCAAAGGACTACTTCCCCCAAGGTCTGGGCCTTCCTGCCTCCTCTACAACCCCACGTTCCACCTCCCCCATCTCCAGGGTTAAATAGCCAAGGGAGGTCCCTGATTAGTGGGAAAGCGATCACCACCGACTTCTCCACTGCTGGGGTAGGAGACAGAGCCAGCAGAAACATTCTGGCCATGTTTTTGGTTCAACAGTCCAGTAAACAAGGGTTTGATGGATTGAATGGCCTCTGTCTTCTGTAAACTGCTGTGGGAAACATCTCGGCTCTCTCTCAAGCTGTCTCCATCTCTCGCAGTATTACAAAATTGTTATGGTGCAGAAGTGGCCACCTCACCCATTATGTTTGTACCAGCTCTCTCAGCATTTTAACTTAGTGCCAAAGTCCCAACTCTGCCCCTTCTCTCTCTTTCTTACTTTCTGTCTCTCTCTCCTTCTCCCTCTCTGACTCTCTCTCCCACTCTCACTGTGTCTCTCTTTTTCTCCTTCTCCCTCTCTGTCTCTTTCTCCCACTCTCACTGCTTCTCTCTCTTTCTCTCGCTCTCTCTGACTCTCTCTCTCCCACCCTCACTGTGCATCTCTCTCTCTCCTTCTTCCACTCCGGCTTTCTGAATCTCCCTTCCACTGTCTCTCTCCTTCACTCTCTCCGTCATCCTCACTGTCTCTCTTCCACTCTTACATTCTCTCTCTCTCTGTCTCTTTCCCACTCCCTCTCTATATCTGTCACTCTCACTCTCCCCACACCCTCACTTAGACCAGCGATCTGAGAATGCAGAAAGCAAGGAAACAATAAACTTTTACTTAACGAAAGAAAATGTTCACGGGTCATTGCTAGAAATGCTTTTATTTATTCTAATTGTAATATTAGTACCATATTTCCATTTGAGGCTGATACTGTGTGATTGGTGTGTGCAGCTGAGGGACCTGTATTTTCATCTGGCCACAACCTCAAGGAACTAACGTCTGCTGAAGGATGGGATCATCATGCTGAGGTTTTTGCAGTCTGCACTGAAGTAAGCTGATCATTTTATATTTAATGGAATGAATAACAATGACACTTATGCCGTGCCTTTAACAGCAACTTATTGTTACTTTAACAGAATAAAATAAAGGTGATTATTAAGCCACATTTAACAATGAACTACATCAGGAGATAATGAGGTGGAATCTGAAAGAGATGGAGAGATTTAGGGAGCAAATGTGGGATTTCAATTCCCAAGGAGCTGTTGGCATGGTCACTAAAAGTAGAATACCAGTCCATAGGGCTGCTCCCCCATTGGAAAAAGGAGGCAGTAGCCTATTAGTATTATCAGTGAACTGTTAATCCAGAGATAGTAGGAACTGCAGATGCTGGAGAATATGAGATAACAAGGTATAGAGCTGGATGAACACAGCAGGCCAAGCAGCATCAGAGGAGCAGGAAGGCTGACGTTTCGGGCCTAGACCCTTCTTCCAGAGACCCAGGTAATGTTCCAGGGACCCAGGTTCAAATCCTGCCGTGGCAGATGGTGGAATTTGAATTCAATAAAGAATCTAATGATGACCATGAATTCATTGTCAATTGTCAGGAGGAAAAACCCATCTGGTTTACTAAAGTCCTTCAGGGAAGGAAATCTGCCATCCTTGCCTGGTCTGGCCTACATGTGACTCCAGTCCCACAGCAATGCGGTTGGCATTTAAGTGGCCTCAGGGCCGTTAGGGATGGACAATAAGTGTTGACCTAGCCATCAATGAATAAAAGGAGGGAAATGACAGATGGTGGGTCTAACCTTAGAGTCACCATCTCTCAGGCGAGGGGAGGGGTTGAGAAGGAGGGTCCTTCATGGGAACCCTGGCCGGTGTGGGAATTGAACCCATGTTGGTGGTATCACGCTGTATTGTAAACCAGCCATCTAAGCTAACTGATCCCCCCCACCCCCTCAACCCCCCCATTGTTAAAGGATGAAGGTTCAGGACAGGACAGTAATATTCTGAAGTGTCTGATACAATGGCAAGTCCTTGCCTTGTTGAGTAGCCATCCGGCCCTGACAATAATTTCTGAGCCATTTATGTGGCTGCACATTTCCTTGACTTGACTAACCACCAATTGCATAGTTTCGGAAACTGGACACGAGTTGAACTGTACAGATCCCTTCAAGTGGATGGGATCAGGCTTAATTGTGAGGCCCTCACGGTCAATTTGCCTGCTGGCGATCAAAAGTGCTGTGTAGAGATAATAGAGACATGCAGTATCCCTGTAGAAAGCTGGGCATACCGGGGGAGGGTTGGGAAATGATCTCGAGTGAAGGGATTTCAGGAGCAGGGTGGCAGTACAATTAAAGATTACCTCTGCTGATCAGACTTTCTATAACTTACAGGTGATGAATTTGATTCAGGATATCCCAGTGCCAGTCATTGCGAAAGTTAATGGTTTAGCCACCGCTGCTGGTTGTCAGCTCGTTGCTAGTTGCGACATTGCTGTGGTATCAGAGAAGTCAAAGTTTGCCACTCCAGGAGTCAACGTCGGGCTCTTCTGTTCCACGCCAGCTGTTGCAGTGGGCCGATCTCTTCCTCGGAAGGTACGTGCGTCGCTGTAGACACCCAGCAGCTTTAAATCCCGCGACTTTGTGCTCGCAATACAGTCGGTTCATATCACAAACTCCCCGAATCTCGCTCGGTGCTTTCGTTCACAAATTGCCCAACTCTCTGCTTTTCTCGCAAGCTCTCAGGAGCTTGTGACTGAAACCACTCAATTAATATTTTCAGCAGTTACAAGTGTGTAATCATAAATGTGATCCCCCTACGGCATTGGAAAACATGTGCAATTAGAAATGCCATTGATTTCTGTGAAGGGCTGCTGATTGTTAAAGTCCTGATACTCTAGCTGCCGGACTATTGGCAGAAAAGGAAAGAGCTTGCATTTTTATAGCGCCTTTCATGACCCCAGCAATTCCAGTGCTCTTCGTAAACAGTGAAGTACTTTTGAGATGTAGTCACTGTTGTAATGTTGACAACGCAGCAATCAATTTTACCCAGAAACAACAAATAATCAGAAAGTCTGCTGTCAGTCAGTGATATTGGTTGAGGGGTAGTTATTGATCAGGAGGCAAGGATTGATGTCCCTGATGTACAAAGGGATCTTTAGTATCGATCTGGGGGAGGGGGGTGCGGGAGCAGGCTGGGCCTCAGTTTAAAGTAACATCCAAAACATGTGAGTTAGGAGCAGAGTGGGCCATTTGGCCCCTTCAGCCTGCTCTGTCATTCAATAAGATCATGACTGATCTGTTTGTGTTTCATATTCACGATAACCTTTGATTGCTTTGACTAACAGAAATCTATCTAGCTCTGCCTTAAAAATATACAATGTCCCTGCCTCCATAAGACATCCCTGGCTCAGATCTTGGAGTGAGACTTGAACTCGCACCGTCCTCTATCAGGCTGATCCTGTCTTCCCAATAAAAGGCATTCCCTCATCCTGGTGCTCTTTGATTCTTCCCAACCCAAGAACATACAAACAAGGAACATGAGTAGGCCACTCAGCCCTTTGGGCCTGCTCCCCATTCAGTAAAGACCCTGATCTGATTTTAACTTCAACTCTGCTTTCCTGCATAACCCCAATCATTTTTCATTCCCTTGGTCATCAAGAATTTTTCCTCATCTCTAACTTGAGTGGGTGACCACTTATTATTCAGCCATGACCCCTTGTTCTAGATTCTCTCAAAGGGGGAAATATCCTTCCCACATCCACCCCGTCAAGTCCCCACAGGATCTTATATGTTTCAATTAAGTCAACTCAATCCTTTAAACTACAGAGGATACAGGCCCAGCCTGTCTAGCCTTACCTCATAAGGCAATCCATTCATTCCAGGCATTAATGTAATAAACCTTCTCTGAACTGTTTCTAGCAAGTTGACATCCTCTGTAAGTACAGTGACCAGTCCTACACACATTACTCCACATGTGGTCTGACCAGTGCCCTGTATACCTGCTCCCTACTGTTGCATTCACTTCCCCTCACAATAATCCATAACATTCCGTTAGCTTTTCCGATTCTTGCTGGACCTGCGGACTAGGCTGTGATTGGTGCGCTGGGACATCCAGAGGTGTAACCAGGAATAGATGGGAACGTGGAATATGAAACACAAACAGATCAGCCATGATCTCATTGAATGGAAGAGCAGGCTGAAGGGGCTGAATGGCCCACATCCACATGTTTTGGATGAGACCATAAACCAAAACGCCCAGTCTGTTCCCTTCGATTGATATTAAAGATCCCACAGCACATCGAAGAAGGACAGGAAATCAATCCTTGCATCTCAGAGCTCTGTACCTCTCCCCATTTAGATAATATGCTTCTTTTTTGCATTCTTTCTGCTAAAATGGACATTTGCTGTTTTTCTCTTATCATACTCCACTGGCAGATCTTTGCCCACTCACTTAACTCTCTGTAGACTCCTTCACAACTCACTTTCATACCTGTGTTTATGTCATCAGCAAATTTATCTACCTTCAGTCCCTTCATCCAAATAATTTATATAAGGCCTCCCCAATTAACAAATGTCTGACTTATAAATGCTCGCATTCACGCACGCGATTCCATACAGGAGTGCAATTTTAAAGATCCGACAGATGATTGTTTCCTGGACTTGTGAACGGCTATTTTTTTATTGCCTTGCTTTGTGTTTCGACTTGCGTACAAATCAACTTGCGAATAGACTCACAAACGGCACCTGTTCACAACCCAGGGACGGCCTGTATAAATGATATGAAAGTGTGAAAATTAAAAAGACACTGCAGCCTGTGGAGAATACGTGGAGCCGCTGGTGTTCGACTGGGGTGGACAAAGCCAGAAGTCACACAACGCCAGGTTATAGTCCAACAGGTTTATTTGAAATCACGAGCTTTCGGGGCGCCGCTCCTTCATCAGGTGACCTCTGACTTTGTCCACCCCAGTCCAAGACCGGCACCTCCAGATCATTGCGTATTTATAACACAAAGTTCCGAAAGCTTGTGATTTCAAATAAACCTGTTGGACTATGACTGGTGCCATGTGACTTCTGACTTTGTGCCAATATGTTCAGGGGAGGACAGGGAAGGGAAGTATTTGTTTGCTCAGCTTTTTTTGTGCGGAAGATTTGAATAAATTCTACTTGTGACAGGTTGCTTTAGAAATGCTGTTTACCGGAGAGCCTATTTCTGCCCAGGATGCACTGCTGCATGGACTGGTTAGCCAAGTGGTGCCTGAGGACAAACTGGACGAGGTGACTGTGAAAATTGCAAACAAAATCTGCGAAGCAAGCAGGCCTGTTATTGCGCTGGGAAAAGCCACGTTTTACAAGCAAATGGCCCAGAACCGAAACGAAGCGTATCGAATCGCTGCACACGTCATGGTGGATAACCTGGCACTGAGAGATGGTCAGGAAGGAATTCAGTCCTTCATCCAGAAGAGGAAACCTGTGTGGACACATTCCACGGAAAAGGCACACGAATAACAACCTCTGTTGCCTGGGTGTGGTGTGCAGTGTTTCCAAATAAAGAAGCACTATTCTGAAGCCTAATTGCTATTACATTTTCCAATGTGAGATGCGATTCCTTTCAGGGGAGTTCATTTCTAACTGGAATGAGTTGTAAATATAAAATGGACGTTATTATAAATAAATAAAGGAGATGGTAACTGAGTAAAAAAGTAGCATTTGTACCGCACAAGTGCCAGGCATTGACCCCCATTTGCAATAAGAGACAATTTAACCATTGCCCCTTCTTATTCAATGGTGTTACCGTCAGTGAATTCCCCCCCTATCAACATCTTGGGGCTCACCACTGACGAGAAACTCAACTCAACTTGTTGCATAAACACAGTGGCTACAAGAACAGGTCAGAGGCGAGGAATACACGTCCTGACTCCCCGAAGCCTGTCCACCATCTACAAGGCACAAGTCAGGAGTGTGATGGAATACTCCCCACTTGCCTGGATGAGTGCAGCCCCAACAACACTCAAGAAACTCGACACCATCCAGGACAAAGCAGCCCCCACTTGATTGGCACCACATCCACAAACATTCACTCCCTCCACCACCGATGCTCAGTAGCAGCAATGTCTACTATCTACAAGATGCATTGTAGAAATTCACTAGGCCTCCTCAAAAGTGCCTTCCAAACCCAGGTGACTACTTCCATCGAGAAGTACAAGGGCAGCAGATACATGAGAACACCAACCCCTGCAATTTCCTCTCCAAGCCACTCACCGTCCTGACTTGGAAATATATCGTCGTTCCTTCACTGTCACTGGGTCAAAATTGTGGAATTCCCTCAAGCTACAGTACAGGGATGACAGCAGTTCAAGAAGGCAGCTCATCACCCCTTCTCAAGGGCAACAAGGATGGACAATAAATACTGGCCCAGCCAGCGACACCCACATCCCATTAACAAATAATTGTTTTAAACATTAATTACTTGCTTTGGGAATGTAATGAAAATGCAAAGAAACATTCTGATAGATTATAGAATGATTTTGCACAGGATGCACACCATTCAGCCCATCGTATCGGTACCCACTCATTAGAAGAGCTGTCCATTTATCACACTCTCCAGCTCTCCCTTTTCCCTTTAATGCCCCTTTTTAAGTATTTATCCAATTCTCCTTTTAAGAGCTACTGCAGGATCTGTTTCTACTGCCCCTTCATTCACTACATTCCAGTTCAAATCAACTCATTGGTCACCAACAAATTCTCCTTATCTCATCTTATGGTCCTCGGTCAGTCCATACAAATCTGTCTTACCCGGTTTCTGTCCCTCTTACCTGTGTGAACTGTTCAGTTGTTAATTTTTTTTCTGCTAAGAATTGAAGGGGAGTTCTGTGTTCCTGAAAGCTCAGGGAGTTTAACAATGTCTGTCATTACCTGACTGTGCAGTTGCTGCTTGTAGTTATTCTCACTATGGTGCACTGCACTCACATCGGTCTTGTACCATCCTCACACACTCCTCTGTAACTGCTATGTAACATCTGTCATCCCACTACAACCAGGTCGATCCTTCTTTCTGTTGCCGTCCAGTTTGCCTTCTGGAAGAGATCTTTGTAGCTTCTCAGCTCTGATCAAACAACCCTAATGCTGACATTACTGGATATCACTTTATAGAGTTCTTTGTGCTAAAACGTCTTTGTAGCTTTTCTATAGCTCTCTTACAAGGATGTGGGAAAGTCAAGTTTATTCCCCACTTTGAAATGAATCAGTGAGTCATGGCTGGGGTACACTGGTGTTGTTATAATAGGCCTCAGCATTTCTGGCTTACTAAAGAGAAATCTGTTGGGGTCTCTGCACTGATTGCTTACTCATAAGAACATATAAGTTAAGGAGCATTCAGTATGGATAGGCCATTCAGCCTCTCAAGTCTACTCCTCCATTCAATAAGGTCATGGCTGATCTGATTCTGGCCTTAACCCATATTCCTGCTTACCTGCTACCCGTTTTGACACCTTTGGCAGTGAAGAATCTATCTACCTCTGCCTTAAAAATGTTCAATGACCCTGCCTGCACCTCTCTGGGGAAGATTATTTCATACACTCGCAACCCTTTGAGAGAAAGATTTTCATCTCTGTCTTAAATGGGAGATCCCTTATTTTTACCCTGTGTTCTCGTAGTTGTAGCCTCTCCTGCAAGGGGGTAACAGCTTTCCAGTCATACTTTGTCAGCATACTGCAGTGTCAATGTATGAGTGACCCTCCAATCCATGGTTGTACAGTGTGCTAACACCCACTCTCAAAGTTCCCAAGTGAATAATTCTCATTCAGTGGGAACACAGGATCAGTATCCTTGACAGCCTATCCCAGCATGGAGCCATAAGAATGGGAAAGTTACCAGCCAACAACTTCTGAGAAGTTTCACCCACCAATTCTTAGGATGAAAGGGTTTGTGTTATGAAGAAAAGTTGAACTGGTTGAGCCGGTACTTGGGAAATTTAGAAGAAAGAGAGGTGATGTTATTGAAACCTGTGACATTCTGAGGGGCCTTAACGCTGAAAGGATTTTTCACCTTCGGGAAAGGAAGGGCAAATCTAGAAATAAGGATACGTTCAAAATAAAAGAAAGAGATAAGGGGAAATTTCTTCTCTCAGGTGGTTTTGGAATTCTCTTCACTGGACAGCAATGGAGACTGAGACATTGATTTTAAGGTTAGGTTCAAGGCTGAGTTAGACAGATTTACAAAGATATGGGGATCAGGCAGGAAAGTGGAATTGATCCCACGGTGAGATCAGCTGTACTGCTCCTAATTCAGAATTTCTTAAGATCCTCAGTGAAGCTTCAAGTTTCCACCTCAAGATTCCAGAGGATAAGGAGAAACTTCTTCAGCCAGAGAGTGGTGAATCTGTGGAATTCACTGCCACAGAAGGCTGTGGAGGCCAGGTCATTGAGTACATTTAAGACTGAGATAGATAGGTTCTTGATTATCAAGGGGATCAAGGGTTACGGGGAGAAAGCAGGAGAATGGGGTTGAGGAACTTATCAGCCATGATTGATTGGTGGAGCAGACTTGATGGGCCAAATGGCCTAATTTCTGCTCCTATGTCTTACAGTCTTATGGAATGTCACAGCTCAGTTCAGCCTCAGGAGTCATGATGTGGAGGTGCCGGTGTTTGGACTGGGGTGGACAAAATCAGAAGTCACACAACACCAGGTTCTGGTCCAACAGGTTTATTTGAAATCACAATCTTTCGAAGCGCTGCTCCTTTGTCAGGTGAAGTCAGGACTCCAAACGGTGCTCCGAAAGCTGTTGGACTGTAACCTGGTGTCGTGTAACTTCTGATTTCAGCCTCAGGGTGGCAGTAGATTGCAAACTTGTCCATTGAACAAAATCAGCCTTCAAAGATTGGATCTACGAGATAACAAAATGAGGGAGAAAATAATTCTGAAAGGGGTTCTGTGTAGTTTCAGGTGAAATTCTGCAAAGATAAAGTGACGCGCACTTTTGTTTCCAGTGTTCTTTCCAACACTGGTTGCGATAATTTGGGATTTGATTGCACAGTTTGCTATCTGACAGACTTCAAAGAAATTTCCATAAACAAACCTTGCAATCAGCGTGTGAAGTCATACCTTTTTGATAACACATTCCTTGCAAGTTGCATAGCCCAAGGATTAATAATTGTTCCTTTTGTAACAACCTTTGTTAAACATAGTTTTACATCACTCCGCTGCAGACATTTTGGATTAGCAGATTGCAAAATTCAATCAGGTTTTAAGAGCTGTACAGCTATGAAACCAAGCATTGAAAGAGGAACCTTGATTCACATAGCTTTAAATACATTTGTAAGAAGAGTCTGGGGTTCAAATGGCAAATTAAATCTTCTTTTGCCTCTTACACCCGTGTTGATATTAATCTCTACTAACAAGAAGTGGTTTGCATATATTGTGCTTCATAGAATCGTAAAGATGTTACAACACAGGAAATTATTCAACCTGTCTATTCTGTGAAGACTGTCTACGAAAGCAGTCCAGCTTATCCCATTTCCCCATCCCTTCCCTGCAATCCTGCCAACATTCCCACTTCAAGCACTTACCAAATTCCCTTCCTAATTATTCCGTAATGTCTGCTTCTCCCGCCCCTAAAATGTTTTTATCCATCCATGGAATGTGGACATCATGAATAATGTTTGATGTTCATTCCTAATTGCCCTTGAGAGTGTGGTGATGAGTCACTTCCTTGATGACTGAGTAACTTGCCTGGCCATTTCGGAATGATAAGACGCAAGCACAATGTTGTAGGTCGGGAGTCACGTGTAGCCAAAGCAGTTATGGATGGCTCGCTAAAAGACATAAATAAAACAGTATTGTTCAGATCCACACCAGTCAATGAGACAGAAACCTAAGCTACCTTCCTTTGTGGATAGAGTTTATTGATAACTCAGTCTTACAGCTCCCTCGACCACCCCACCCCAGGTACTCTAACAATTAACTGCCACCATATGTCTCTTCAGAATCTTAAATAAACCTCCCAACATGATTAACCAGACAGTTACAATGATTGAGTAATTATATTGTCATCATTACTGATTTAAGCTTATTTCTAAATCACAGATTTACTTTGAAATGTGCAATGTTTGATTTGAATTCCTTTGACCAGATTGTTAATCCAGGCCTCTCAGTTCCCCTCTAACACAACTGCAATGCTGCTGTTTCCATCTAAACTCCCCCTAGTTTCAGAGGATGCCAGGTACCGTTCACCTGCAGTGGACAGTGCAGGACACCAAGCTGTTCCCCAACTCCTGCCAGTTCCAGCCGATAATGACCTTTGTTAACACATGAACTGTCCTGCCTGCATGGCAGCAAAATTGGTTAATGTGTCTATTCAGCAAAAGCAAACTAATATTCCACTCCCACTCTGATTTTTTTTCTTTTACGTCAAAATTCCACTGTAATTTCTACAGTGGAAACTCATTATTATGAAGATGTTTCAACATTACAAACACATCCATTTGTTTTGGTGGTGTGTTCTGCTCCTTTCCTGTCTGTTATCCCCTTCTTGCCTCGCCTGAGTTCAAACACACCGTAATCCTACCATAAACCACAGGGCTGCCCTCTTATTAGAGATGTTGATGGGTTAACCTGAGGGCTACCATACCTCAAGTGAGGTTGAGCAGGAGATTCCTTCTTGGTAACCTCAGCTGGTGTGGGGATTGAACCCACACTGTTGGTATCACTGTACATTGTAGAGCAATTGTCTGAGCTAATCTACTCTCCCCACTTCCAGTTGGTTGGAGGGCTGGTGTGTGATGCCAACAACATGGGTTCAATTCC